ATTATTGCCTTGCAAAGAGTCAGTGAGATATTCAAAATAGCATGTAAGTTTTTGGTTGGCAGGCTCCCCCATTGGATCAAAGAGTAGAGATTCCATGAAGGTCATGACAATGGAAGCTATCACTCAAGGGGGATGGCAGACTCAAAATGCCAACAGCAAGAACAACAGACATGAAAAATAACAGAAGGCATAAAAATCATTTACTGAGCCATCCAGAGAGAGAACAGAACAGCAGGCCTCAATATCACTTTATGTATCTTGGATCCTGCGCTCTAAACACAGCCTGGAAAACAATGAGAAAGCATGCACCTCCCTGGAAGCAAGACAGGTCATAGTGGTAACTATTTTAATGAACAACTATATTTTGATGTCTAACAAATGCTTGTTCCACGCACACAGGAGAGATCCTCCACTGGGTTAAAACTTTAGGGCACTGTGAACACGCAGAGAGGTGCAAAGCAGCCAGAGCACTCCGGCACCGGGACCTCTATTTATATCTGCAAAACTAGGGGTGCAGTTGTGCATAAATATATTTCTGATACATTCACACTTTATTCTTATGCATTAGTAACGTTTAAGATTTTTTCAGTAAATTCTGTGAATTTAACCATGTTCTAAACTGACTGTAATAAAGCAGGTCTAGATGAAGCAAACCATCTCCTCTTTTTAGAGTCCCATGGAAAAAAGTCAGAACTTTAAAAAAAAACAAACAAAAAAAACTAGCAAGTGATTACATAGTTATATTGGAGTAGAACTTCACATGATGCATATTAAGATTCTGAATCAGCAAAACAAAATTAAGTACTTGCTTATGTATTTTGTTGAAACAGAGTCTAAGAGTGCGGCTGAAGTTGAAAAAGCAAAAAGGGTGTGAACAAAAATCAGATTATTTTCAGAATCGCAGCGAAAAGACCTAGTACAACCAAAAATTACTCAATATAGAGGTGTGCAAAAATACGTGAACAAATTAATCACTGGACAATCTAGCCATAGGAGAGCCTTTCCAGTGAGCAAATGGTCTCTATATGCAAATTTCACAACCAGGTCTAGGCACCACAATGGAACAAATATGCACAGATGTTCCGCATGGAACGTAATATGAGTATTTGCATTTCTGACATGCCTATGTGCTGTTATATTCAAGTACAGGCATAATTTTAAAAAGTCACTATCAAATATGTTATATCTGCTTAGGTCCATATCGCATCAACGGACACAATTTATTCATATAGCAAATACAGTAAATATTAGATTTCCAAAAGAATGTATATATAAAAATTCTGTGCCTGGAGATCAACGACATCAACCTATTTCCTTTTCCCCCTTTTACTGTACTCACTTGCATGTAGCATAGAGTATTGTTGCTGTGTGATGTTTGTGTGCGTGTTGTTTTGTTAAGGATTTGAGAACTGAGTTGATTAGGCTATGTAAACACAACTACTGTTTGCACGTCTGTTTGATTTCTGGAGTCACTCCTCAAATAGCAATATGCCAGGACTAGGAGGATTGTAAAGGAGGAATCTGCATTCCTACGGCCACCCTGAAAGAGCAATTTATCCTATCATCAACATGCAATTCTGTGCTAAATTAAGACATCTGTACTATGGAGCAGACCTACACACCAAACCTACTACAGATGGGCTACAGACTGGTTGGTTAATCTGTTCCAAATAAATGATCTTTGTTTTTGAAAGAAAAGCCTGTAGGTACTAGATACATTAACTTTCATTTTTATGGCCGGCTTGAGCCTATTCAGATGTTGCACATATGTTCAGCAGGAAATGGAGGATACAATCTGTGATTTACTGCTGTCTAAATGCTGGAAGCAGGGAGGCACAGAACAACAGTTCTCTGCATGGGCACAAGTGGCGCATGAATTTTTCCTCATCTAGAAAAGAAATAGGACTTTGAGAACTCTAGCTAATAAAACATTTCCATAACTATAAAATCTCTTGAAATTTAAAAGGACGAAGTCTTCACTTCAAGTTTGCAGATGGTAGCATTATTTTCTCTCATTTAAAAAAAAAATATTTATATGCACCAATAAGGCCTATGCCTAGGACATCAGACAAAAAATGGCTGCTGCCCTATAATCTTTCATTCTTAAAATAATGTTAGCTTTCTCACAATTGGGGCACTGTTCAGTATTATGCACTATGCTATCTTTATACATTTAAAATATTATTTAACTTCTCAGGAATCATGCAAAAATAAATGCCATTTTTATTGGCAACTTCAAGTTTATGTAGCAGCTGGTACATTATATTTGATATCAACAGGGTGTTTGTTTAAACTCAGACTTTTTTTTTTTAATGTCTCTGGGTAAAAGTAACTTGCATAGATTTACATGGACATTTCAATTTATTTTTTCCCCATTTTCAAATATAATAAAGAGAACACTGGAAAATGGCTTGTTTCCAATTAGCTACACGTAATACTGTATTCTCAATTTCTTATAAAAGTTTTAGCTAACAGTTCCACAATATGGAGCTGATCAGATCTTTAAACTATATCAGATCTCTCTAAGGAGTAGGACCAAGCCTCATGAAATCTCTCTTTCCTGGTAAAACTGCACTTGCCTCCTAACGTCCAGGCCATTCCCCTTTGGAACACCGTGAGCTGGGCAGAAGACATTCTTGACATTTCTGAGTGCTTGTTTGGAGAAGTCTTTTCCTGTTGTCTGCAGCAGAGGGAAGTAGAAGAAAAAACAGACTCCTTGTGCCCTGATCTCCTAAACCTAAAATGCCCACCAGAATTGGAACCATAATGACTAAATGAGACACTTCAGGGAATACAGAAAACATTAAAAAAAGAAAAAAACTAGTCAGGCTAAATCCTCAAGATGTACATCACAGATTATTTATGGAAAGATCTGTTAAACAGCTCGGAACTTTAGCAAACCGATAACTATGAAAGGTCAAAGTGTGGTTTTACATTGGTGTACTGTATAATGTCAAACACTGGGAAAGGTCAAGAACAGTCAGGATTTTTAAATAAATTATTCAAATCCTGACACGGAAGATTTATCTAATAATTTATCCATACAGTGGTTCTGATTATTTGTCAAGTCCCCATTTATTACTGAATTGTTCTATAAACACTGTTCTGGCATTTTCATTTTTTAAAAAGTATTATTTCTTCTCAATTGTGACACCATTTTGTGGGAAACAATACCGAGCTATAATTTTACGTTGTAACTGTGTTGCTTTAGCAATGTAGGAGGATGTAAGAATGATTTCCCCTTATAGATGCAAGTGAGATGATCTAATAATACACCGCTTTTAAAACCTGCCAGGAGGTGGTGGTGGTGACAATGGTTGTGGTACCTGACAAAAGACCAGGTGATCTAGAAAAAGGAGACTTCTATTCATCATCATCATCTTCCCACTACGCCTCTGGCGTTTAGGGCAGCTATGACGCTCCTCCACTCCTGTCTGTTTCTGGCAACTATTTCAGTGAGTCCCCAGCTGTGCCCCAGGTTTTTCAGCTCGGCTTCCACAGCTCTTTGCCATGTTATTTTCGGGCAGCCTCATTTTCGCTTGCCTTCAGGTGTCCACCTTTTTGCTACTCTGGTGATGGAATCAGTTTCCATTCAAAGCACATGGCCAATCCAACTCCAACACTTCCAGGTAATGATGGTGCTCAGATCCTCTTGGCTGCACAGTGTCAAAAGATCTTGGTTTGAGATTGTTCTGGGCCAAAAGATACAGAAGATTTTTCTGAGGCAGGTTGTATGGAATGATGACAGTTTGGACATATCATACTTTCTCATTCCCCAGCATTTTGCACTATAAAGTAGTGTTGAAAGTACGCAGCTCTGATAAATCTTGAGTTTGGTTTGGTGTTGTATTTTGAGGATTTCCAGACTGTATTTAAGCTCCTGAAAGTGTTCCTGGCTTTACTGATTTTGTTCCGGATGTCTTGGTTTGTTCCACCGTCCTGGCTGATGGTGCTGCCCAAGTATGTGAATGTTTCTACATTGGTGAGAACATAATCCTCTATCCGTACTGGTGATGGCGCTATTAAAGGTCATGGAATCTATCTTACTGCGGTTGATTTTCAGTCCAAATTGCTGGCTGAATGTGTTGAGTCGAGTTGTTTTTTTCCTGTATATGGTGCTGGGTATGCGATAGGAGAGCGAGAATTCTATTCGTGCTATGCCATAATTACATTTGGTCTAAAATGCATGTTCCTCAGAATAAATGAACTAGGTTTTTGAATTGCCCTGCACAGGAACTAAGCAAGCTTTGAAAAGTCAATGTGAGAAAATTTCTCTTATTTATGCATATAGCTATTATAATAAAATTATATTAAAATAAATTTTGCTGCTGTTAGACTTAGGATAAATTTGGTGAAGTGGAATTGCAATTATTAAAGTTTCACAAGTTCACTTAAATGCAGTTGATAAATGATTTTTTAAAAGAACGACAGTGGGATTCTTTTTCAGCATCAGTAGAGTCAAGCTAATGTACAGACACAGAATACATACAGACTGCAGGTATACGTTACAGTATACCAATGCGCATAGATGCTTATATTTTGGTAGAAAAGCTAAAAACAGGAAGGAATTGCTGGTTTCAAAAGCATTTGAATTACAAAACTATTTAATGACATAATTGTACAGATGAAGAGCTTAGCCTTAAGGTAAGGACAGCTTTCAGGACAATTAAAAAATTGCTGGCTCTTACACACAGAGTCTTACATTTATCAAGGATGAAATGCTAAGAGTACCATATTCAACTGTTATCTGTCCTCAAGAATAAGAATGGGTTTCTGGTAGTGTTTTTGAAAATGGTTGCCTTGTATGTCAATCGCTGGTTAGAACCGGAGAGTGATATGTCAAGTCACATGGATCATGAACATATTGCAGTATGTAATAGATAATGTAGAACAGAGGGAAAAGATAGGAGGAGTTTTAGTAAACATATTCATAGAGCAGCAAAGGGAGAGAAAGACGATTCTCAGAAATGCAAGATGTCTGTGATGCGGCAAGCACTTACCAGAATGTGACTTGAATTGGAGTAAGGCACTGTTGTACCCCAGTGTAATTAGGACAGACTCTTTGCCCACACGACAGTATTCAGTGTCTCTGTTAACCAAGCATTTAAACACACAGACTCCATCAGCTGAAGGGGAAAAAAATACTTTAGAAAATTTTAAAAAGTTAAACACAAAACACAAACAGAAGTATAGATATCTACAATTTAAAACTGTCCTAAGCATGCACTAAAGATGGGCAATTTAAGGGAGAAATTTGTTCTCTAGTACAGTGGTTCTCAAACTTCACCCCCTCTATGATCCACAAAATGGCTGAAAATTCACCCCCCTACCATCCATATGCCACAGGCCTTTGTGAGCTGTGCTGTGTTTGGGGGGTAGGGGGCAGAAGTAGATGCAGCAAAAGGAAGAAAGGTGAGAGTCCCTCCTCCTCTCCCCAGCCCTGTGTTCCCACAGGATCTTAGCAACAGTGGAATTTTACTGGTTGTTCAGCTGGTGCAGGCAGTCCTGTAAACATCTCTAACAAAGCACTGCTGGGTCACACCTTTGGTTCAGAACCTGCTGCTCTAACCAGTGGAGTTGCAAAGAAAGAAAAAAAAGGAATCAAGCTGTAGCAACAAAACAGAATGAAGGGACCACAGCAATTTTTCCTTCTTTTGCATCTTTGGCATTTGGACAGGTTTCAGAGGAACAGCCGTGTTAGTCTGTATTCGCAAAAAGAAAAGGAGTACTTGTAGCACCTTAGAGACTAACCAATTTATTTGAGCATGAGCTTTCGTGAGCTACAGCTCACTTCATCAGATGTATACCATGGAAACTGCAGCAGACTTTATATACACACAGAGAATATGAAACTCCTTAATAATGCGTTGGAGGGGTTTTAGTTGGGGGCTGAAGGTGACCGCTAGTGGCGTTCTGTTATTTTCTTTGTTAGGCCTGTCCTGTAGTAGGTAACTTCTGGGAACTCTTCTGGCTCTATCAATCTGTTTCTTTACTTCTGCAGGTGGGTATTGTAGTTGTAAGAAAGCTTGACAGAGATCTTGTAGGTGTTTGTCTCTGTCTGAGGGGTTGGAGCAAATGCGGTTGTATCGCAGAGCTTGGCTGTGTGTATATAAAGTCTGCTGCAGTTTCCACGGTATACATCTGATGAAGTGAGCTGTAGCTCACGAAAGCTCATGCTCAAATAAATTGGTTAGTCTCTAAGGTGCTACAAGTACTCCTTTTCTTTTGGCATTTGGGTGTCACGAAATGCAGTTATACTATGCCACGCTGCGTGCGAAATGAAATCCACCCATAGACCCTACTTTCTACAACTTTAGTGATAATGATCCAATTATTTGGCTTAACAAGAATACACTTTTAAGTACTCTTCAGCTGAAGTAAGCACAGGTACTACTCTCTAAAGAGGAAGATCAAAAATCAGAGGGATGGGAAATGGTAAATGATCAGATTCTCGCACAACCATCCTTGCAGCTGTCAGGAGGTGAGCATGTGACGCAGTTTGCACGCCCTGTAAAAATATTCATCCTTACTTCCAGCAACCTGAAAATGGCTGGAAAGCTTCAAATTTATCTGGCATCTACAAAGCAGGGGCTACCAAAGATGAAGCCCTCAAACAGGGTTTTAAACTGCCACTCATCACCATAGTATCTAAGCTCCAGTGTTTCAGAGACAATACCCTGATAGGAATCCCAACACTTTCCCTGTTCCCTGATATTTGAGAGTCGGGAGGAGATACCATCACTGAGCTTTGTTTCCAGACAGTTGCGCCTCTCATTTTAGTGTAATCCTCTGTCAGTTAAGTGTCTAGTAATTTTTTAAAGACCTACAAATAAGTAAATAGGTTGGTAGAGCTGAATGAGTGAGTTTTGGGGGCGGGGAGAGAGAAAAGATTTTGGGGGGCAAATGAGAAAAAGCACAGGGGAGAAGGTGGAGCACATAGTGTAAGGAAAGAAAAGAACATAAGAAAGTGGATTGAGAGAGAAGGGAAAGAGGGTACAGACAATCAAAATAATGTAGAAAAATATACTATGAGCTGGTATAGAACATGAAAGAGAAAAACTGGAGTGAGGTCAGGATGGGAAAGGTAGCACAAAAAAGCAAAAGATTTAGTAAGTTACATTTAAAAACAGTAATTCAACAGAAAGTTAATGGTAACATACTGTCCATCAAATACACTGTATTTATTCTGTTAAAAAGCAGGAAGTTCCACTAGAGGGAAGGAGAGATACACAGCAGCACACCTATCCCCCCTCCTTCCACCTCCTCCCCCCCTAGCCATTGGGCTTAGTCCTGGGGCTAGGAGGTGTGAGGTAAATTTTTCAAACTCTGCACTTCAAAGAGATCTGCTGTGGCTGGAAATAAATACAATATAAAGATAGTGGACACTCTAATACACATTTCATGTGTTATTCTAGGCTTAACTATTGAAAACCTACAAATTTTCAAGAGTGTGTTCCCAGCTTGAGCTTGTACACACCCAAACAGATACCTACAAATTTGGGTTTCAAGACACACGCATTTCTGTGTGCATGTACCTTCCTCCCTGGACTTGTGCCCATGAACACATCAGGATGGTCCATGAGTAATACAATTGCTTACTACACATAACCTCCTCAAGTAACAAGCCAAAGTGACCATGCAATCAGCTACTTCCCCCACAGTTATGTAGGGGTTCTCCTTTAGTTCTAGGTGTAGAGGCCTGTGCTTTTGGTGGTAAATATCTCCAGGGTTCAATCCCCACTGAAAACGGCAGTACCTACACAGCCACGGTCCATTACACAGATCTCACCTTTGGGAAATGAGACATTTTCTTTATTAAAGAACCAGTTCCAATAATCTCTTTGGAACAGTGTGCACACATGCACTCAAGAATGAATTTTACTCTTCGGCTATCTATTATGTTACTGTTTTCTCAGTGTTGCAACTTACTTTCTTCTGTCAGTCTATCCACTACCCAAAAATCAGATACACTGACTACAAAATTTAACAAAAGTTTCATGGAAGTGGTAAGGCTGACACACAGTACAAAGTTACAAAGAGAGACTGGAGCTAATATGGAAGACAGAGCTATATTGCTAGATTTACTGGATGGCTTTTTATATAGACAGAACTCAACTGTAAGAGTACAGATCCAGATTTGGAGACTTACTCCTCCAAACTCCAGGTGTTCTGAGTCAGCTTCTTAGATAGAACTAAGCCACAACATATGACATCAACAAATGAATCTGGATGTGGATCCCAGCTTTTCTAAAAAATTTAGAGAGGAGCTGGGGAGAGCAGGTTCAATATTGTGGTTCAGGCAGATTTCTTCTTTTCAGTTTCCCAGCATGTAATGTTTTCACTGCTGATATGAAAGGGTGGTGCTCACATACAGTACTTTTTAAAGAGGCAGCATCACATACTACATCAGTAACTTAAAATGTAAAGAATGGGGAGAGATCACTAGTAGAGTAATAACCAGAGTGTAAGCATCACATAATTCTCAGTAACGTCATCGAGAAACCTGGGTCTAAAACAAGTGAAGGACATACAGAAACAGATCCACATTATCCTTCCAAGGATAAACTTTTGTCATATTTGGATTTATATCTAAAACTAGAGCTGCACAAATCTTGGTGGTTCAATTCACATGATCTTACATAAATCCTTTTCTTTGGTTTCTTCCTTTGTGAGGATTCATATTCCTTGAGTTTTCCTTTGAGGTCTGGAAGAGGGGGCAGCAAGAGGGACACTCCCACTGTTATATAATTGCAACAAATCTGATTCAAAAAGTGTGACGCATGGCCAGAAAGGATTAAGCAGCTTGCAGGCTAAATGACCCAGAGCCAACCTTTAGAGACATGTTAGAAAAGTATGCAAATGGTAATTAGGGCCATTCCATGGTAGATGGGCTAAAAGTTTGAATGCAAACCTGTATTGTTAGAGAATTAGAGGTGATACTAATTGTATGTGTGTACTCATATCTTGTTAGATGTTAGCCATGTAAACAGACAGTTCCTGTCTATCACTATAGCTGTTGATTCAGAGATCAAAAGGGATTAACAACCTTTAGATGAACCTTGGGTGAAATAATGTCATTGTCTATATGTCTCTTTAAAGTTTGTGATAAACTGCTTAATGAATAAATTATCGTATGTTAATCCCTTTAGCTAATTACAAGTGATGCTTAGGAAATAGGTCTACTTCAAAATCTCGATAATTGCCTATTGTTTGCCTAAGGACTCCGAGCTGTCAAAGAAGGCCTGGAACTGTATAAGAATGTCTAGGGTCCTGATCCTTTTTATCTTAGATCTGCTTGATGATTCATGCAGGGGAAGCTTAAGGCATAAGGCTGAGATCTCCCTACCCTGGATCACCCTGAATATGGACATTGGACTATATCCTATGGACTAATTCTGAAAGAACTCTTCGCAACTACAAAACTCACCATCTCTACCATGGATCTGATCTCAGAACTGTAATCATGTCTGTATGTACATTGATCTTTTAACCAACACTCTCTCTTTTCTTTTTTAATGAATTTTAGTTTAGTTAATAAGAATTGGCTGCAAACATGTATTTGCGTAAGATCTGGAATATTCCTTAACCTGGGAGATAATGCGTCTGATTCTTTGGGATTGTTAGAACTTTTTTATATGATGGATAAGATTTTCAGTAATCCTCATCATATTTGCCTTGGGTGTCTGGGTGGAGGCCTAAGGCTGGGTTGCTTTAAGGGAACTGGATTGTTGGCTTCTGGGTAATCAGATGCTGTTACAGAAGCTGTTTTGCACTAGTTTGGTAAAACTAAGTATTGGAATATCCACCAGTTTTGGGGATTATCTGCCCCATTCTTTGAACTTCATCCTAATTGAGTGACCTCAGCGGGGTTCCCGGGGACTCTGGTCACAGCCTACCTGAAAATGGGAATGGGTAGTACATACCCACGTACCTGATGGGGTGTTATGAGGAGGAATGAGTTAGTGTTGGTAGAATGCTTTCAACATATAAAGCATTTCAAAATTCTAGATATTTTTGTACTTTTTTTTTTTTTTTAAGTTTTCCCCATTAATAAAGTCTGCTAAACATTTTAATTCACATACAGGTGTTTCTGTGTTAGACATGAGGACTATTCTCTCTTCATTCC